TCTATCTATCTATCTATATCTCTATATCTCTATCTCTATCTCTATCTCTATCTCTATCTCTATCTCTATCTCTATCTCTATCTCTATCTCTATCTCTATCTCTATCTCTCTCTCTCTCTATCTATATCTCTCTCTCTCTCTCTCTCTGTATGTATGTTTTGTGTGCATACACCCATCTATCGATCGATTTTTCCATCTATTTAGCTGTCGGTCTGTCTATCTGTCTGTCTGTATATATACATGTACATGTGACCAACTTAATTACAGGCAAGAACATCGTTGGGCATACCATTACATACAGAGGCTTCAATTGGAAGTCGAACAAGCTGCTCGATGTATTTTACTGTAAGGTTTAGGACCTACAAGTGCATACCATCGTTCAACTTTCCTGAATCGCAAAGCAGCCCTATAAAACACGTAGAAAACTGGGGCCTTTCTGCGGAGCGCATGCTGCCCTGTGGCCCTCTGCGCTCCGAGGTTGCTTGAAGCAATTGAACTTCCTGAGCCAGTCACTGGAAAACAGCGGCTGGGTCGAACTTCATTGCAATGCCAAGCATTAGGAACAGGTTTTGCTGAATTGCAATACTGGGGTCGACAGGCTGTAGGGATGGAAGCAGGACCGTAGTGATACTAGAAGTCATAGCTGGAAAGACAACGGCAGACAATGAGTATGTTATTCTTGTCCTTAACACTGAATCATTTCGGCATCCGGGGGTGTGCAGGCTTAAAGTCCTTTTTGACCCCTATCGACCAACACGGGCCGAATGGCCGTTTTTATCAACCAAAGCCCAATGACCAGGAACGAGCACTCCCAATAATCAACAACAGGCAGAAGCAAAATCACGATAATCACAAGATTAGGTGCTGCAACTGTGGAAAGGGGTTTCAAGTTTCGGTGGCTTGTGACGGGTGAGGAGCCCCTGCCAACTCAGCAGTACCTGCTAACAAGTGGAAGTGAATGTCAGAAAGGTAAACGCTCAATAAAGGCACTTGACGAGTCCAAAAACTAGCGATTAACTATTCAGGCCTTCTTAAAACCTGATCCTACTACTTAGGTTCTTTGTGTGTGGGAACCAGACTGGCCGACTTTGCTCAAAGATATGATCAACGGCCAAGGATCATTGAACAGCTACCAGGGCCGACAACCCGCTTCGACAAACTTCTTCGAGACAGCGTGCCCTGGCTTGAGCCTGGGGGTCCAAAGGACCCAGTACTTAGGTCCTGTTTGGACCACCCCTCCCTACAACCTAATATCCTTGGAGGGGGGGTGGGGTGCATCGATGTGAGGAGAGTCGAACTCCATTGCTGGGGCCAACAGGCATCCCAGTACGGTTGTTGTCCCTGGGACATTGGTCTCCCTCAGTACACTAGTATTGCTTCGAAGCACAAGAGTAACAAGAGCAGGCCATAGCATATCTGTGAGAAGACTGGAATGTCTTTGGGCATCACCGTTTGATATCGCCGACATCAGCCAGTTTCTAGCTTACCAAGTTTTCGTTAGTCAGGGAGGACGCTTCCAACCAGTTACTTTTCTAGTGTTTCTAGCAGGTTTCTAGTACTGCAACTCACCAGCTGCCCATGCAGCACCTGGATCCATAGCATGGTAATGCTAAACGGTGTAGGCCAACGGGGGCATTGCGACGTACAAGTCTTTCTCACCCGGATCCTTACATGCGTGATGGGGCTTATCCAGAGACCATTCAACTGCCAAGTTGACCCAGGTTTTTTGCCAGTAGCTCCCACATTACATCCTGAGGAGTCTTTGGATCTTTCTGCCGAGCTGCGCGTGGACGGTTCCCAAGCTTGAGTACGCAAACAGGGTATGGCACCCCTAAAGCCGCTTACTAAGACTAAATCCCTCGCTGACCCTTTTTTCGAGCGTTGTCCTGGTTCGAGGTGAAGCAACCATCAGTCTGATGTTCGTTCGGGTGGACGCGGGCTTGCTGGCCGGACTGGAAGATGACACCATCGAGGTGCTGAAAAGCTTCGGAGCGATTCAGGACGCTGGAACAGCATCTGGGGTCGGGTGTAATGTGGGAACATGCGAGAATGAGCCTGAAGTGGAGCTGGATGGTCTCAGGATGCCCCGCCTGGCTTCCCTCACATGACGTGCTGCCTGAACTTGGCGAAGGAGCCATGGCATGTTGGATTCACGTTCACTCTCAAGTAACCCCCAGCCCAGTATGGGCAAGACTGAGAAAGCTCGCTGCAGGAGGACAAGCAGCGCTTCAGTGGAGGAGGGTTTGGGGGCACCGAGTCGACACGCCATGTGCTTCTGCTTCCGGACGGGCGGATTCTGGCCAAATATCATTACGAGAGCGACTACATGGAAAAGAGCGGCAACTCCACTCAGTCCCAAAAGCTTCGTTTCACTTGAAGTTGAGGGTTGGTAGTTATTTGTGCATAGGATTTAGGGTTTGGGTTTAGTAGATGTTGAAGTCACTGCCGTGGGCTAGCAGTCCGGCCGAGATCTGACAAGGCCGTTGCAAAAGGGTTGGTAGATGTTGGGGACAGACCGCACCGCTGTGATGACTCAGGCGACTACAGCTGTACTTGCTGCTGGGAGATAGCTGAGGGAATCTTCTCCCCCACCGACGAGCCTGGTTGCCTCTGCATTTCATGGACGGGCTGGGCTGAGCTGCGTCACAGAAGTGACGAGCCCTTCGGCCCAGGGACCATTACGGGCAACTGGGAACAAAAGCTCATAGATGCGGAGCACCGGCGGGTGCCGTCCACCTTGGTGCCAACAGACCAAGGCATTTTGAACCTCCAGAAACTCTGTCGGGCCTGGGCAGAAGAGGATGCAGGTTCTGGCGTGGCATGTGCACGCAGAACATGTGCCCGAACCAAAGCATCGCTGAATATGCCCAAGCTGGATGCCGGCACTTTGGGAAGTCTTAGCATGCATCCTGATCATTTGATACATTGGGTTGGAGAAAAAGCTGACAAGCCCACTTAGTTTCCGTAGTTTCAAGTTTCAAGAGATTTCGTGGATGACTGACAAATTCATGTTTTGATCCCTGCCAAAGGCAGGCATCCATCCTTCTTGCACTTTGTGCAGGAGGCGTGTCATCCTCTCACGGATCTTAAACAGAGAAAAGTGTAAGATGCATGATTTTGCTGAGGCTTGCTCAGCAGGGAGTGCTTGGGAAAGAATGATTTGGATGGCCCGTTGTTGCGAGCGCTCTTGGTGAGGCAGTCGTTCTCTCCCCGTCGCCGAGGATCAGGGAAAAGGTGGATGTTGAGCGTAAGGGCAAACTACTGTCGCCCTTGGAAGGACTGCTGCACCCCGGCCAGTCAGCTCACCATCTCTCCACGCAGCGTGGCCTGTGCAAGATGCTCCGAAGCCTTTATGCCTCAGAAATGCCGAGGCTCCCCAACAAAAGTGCAGGAAGCTGGGGAAGGCGCAGACGAAGGACGCCGACCCTGAGACTGGCCAGGTCTTAGGGTTTTGGGGTTGAGTGCTTCAGTGTGTTTCAGGGCCTTCCCCAGACCGTGACTCCAAAATCGGTTTTGGAAGCTTGCAGCCAGAGATCCTCATAAGTCTAGCCTTGCAATGACAGAGGATGCGCCGAGCCACCTGCAGGCCGGACGAAGGACTGCAAGGGAGCAAGTTGCTTGGGATACACCTGGCACCCTGAGCATGCCGGAGCTTCTGCAGATCCATCCACCTCATGTGGGAGTTTCCGAAAATAAGGGGTGCCTTGTTTTGGGGTCCTTATAATAAGGATCCTACTATTTAAGGTACTATATTAGGGTCCCCTATTTTCGGAAACCCCCATGTTTTCGCAGGAAGTGGAATCCAATGGTCGAGGCCTTACTCAAAAAGTATTGTTGAAGGGATGGCTTGCAGATGCTGTGCCTCTTCTACAGACAGAGGCGCCAGATGTACAAATTCGCACTCGCGGGTTCGTGGTCTCTCTTTCGGCAGAACTGCTTCAGAGACTTGGGGCCTAGAAAACCTGAACTGACAAGTGCCGTTCAAACGTGGGATGGTTGCAGAACTGTTGCAGCGATCCTGCATGGTCAGGTGCCCACAATCCCAATGCGGCCTTAGCACAGGCAGAGGGTTACTCTGCTTGCCAGAAGGGTCGAAGTATTCGTTGATAGCGATCACTATATATAGTCATATAAGACAAAAGTCATAAAACAGGCATAGTATCGTTGTTGACCGGCAGTTGGTAGAGGCCTCGCCACCATTCTTTTGGCGACGCCAAGGCACGCGGGGAGTTCAGGTTTATCGAGCCCTGCTTATGACCCATGACCCCAGTCCAGTTCTTGAACGCGGGTTTTGTCCTTGCTAAGCAGGAGGGAGAAACCGCTTGCCCTCACACACCCCCGTTATTCTGTGGCCATGAACTCCTAGGTCCTAGTCCCCTTACGCTAAGGGAAAACATGCCGAACATCGCCCTGAACACACACCCTGGTTAGTCTGTGCTCATGAAGCCCTCAAACCCTGAACCCTAAACCCCAAATCACCCTTCCCTCGAAACCATGGCTTTGCCTGACAGGCTCTAGGCTCCTGGCAAACGCGCTGATCAACGCACGGCGATCCTGCAAGCATCGCAAAACCCTCAAACCCTAAACCCTAAACCTTAAACGCTAAACCCCAAACCCTAATCCGTACACACTACTTTAAGGGGTTCTAAGGACTATGCTTTTGGTTCTATTTTCGGACAAAGAAAAACATTCTACACCTGGGCTTTCGGGGGATGCTTTGAGCCTCTAGCGTTTAGGGTTTAGGGTTCAGGGTTTAGGGATTAGGGGTTTGGGGTTTAGAGTTCAGGGTTTAGGGTTTGGGTTTTGGTTTTAGGGTAAGCCCTAAACGCCCGTGACACAGTGATTACGTCAAACCCTTCATGTACCCATAGGATCCACTATAGTTCCTTATTTTTTGTGACTTATATTTAGGACTCTGTGAGGTAATCCCCAAAAGGAACTACTATGGAGCGTGTGGGTAACGCCGGCAGAAAAAGTGGCTCCGGGTAGCGCTGAACCCTAAACACTGCTCACAACCTTCTGAAAACCTACATCCCTAAAACCCCGCACACTAGCCTTAGGACCCTCAGCACCAAAGCCCGCAGTACTTGGGTAATGCAGGACGTCATAAACCCTGCGGCCCCAAACCACAAGGGAGTCCATACGGTTGGCACTCAGGCATCCTTACCTGTCATCCATGTCAAAGCCCTCAACCCTTAAACCCTTAACCCTAGAAGCCCTACGTATGACACTTAGGGAATCTCTGTCAATGCCTGGGAGACTCGAGGCAGACGGCTGCCCTATTCGCCAAGACTTCCTATTCTGCGGCAACCCTAGCTGTGGCCGGGACAACCTAAAGCTCGAAGCCCCTAAAACCATAAACCCTTCAACGCTGAAACCCCTATAGTAATAGTTCAAAGAGTTCACAAAGCCCTACGCCCGAAACCCGGAGCCCTGCCAGCATTAACTTCTAAATACTGGCTCCTACACTCCTGAAATCAACACCTCTAAACGCCCAAAGCCTTAATTCCAAAATTTACAAGGGCAATGCTCAAGCTTGGGTTCACATTGCAACCAACAGAAGGAAACTAAACGATACATGCACCCAAAAGCTTGGCTTTAGTCCAGTTTGAACCTGATGGTCCGGGTAGCGGTGGCCCTATGCTTGAGGCCAGTGGTGCCAGTGAACAGACGGATAGTAAGTGTGTACCGTAGTTTGCTGACAGCTGCTAGAAATAACAGTAATAACAGCCATAGCAGTCAAGGTGCAGCAGCGGCAATTGCGGTAGTAGATAATCGAATAAGATGTTTCACGCCTCTTAAACCTTCTCGAACTCCGCTACTTACAGCCATCCGAGATCGTGATTATCTTTTTGACTGGTCTGCGCATCCTGTCTGCGAGTTTCTGGTGATCGGGGAACGCGCTGGCTTTTGCCTGATTCCTTAAGGCCCTACACAAGTTCCTGGAAATCGAAGCCCTGAAGCACTTAGTGGAGCTTGCCGAGGATGCTTTGTTGTAAGGCTGTAGACACTGAAAGTCCGTGGGTTAGGGTTTAGAATCATCGGGTTTAGGGCTTAGGGTTTAGGGTTCAAGGTCTGACGCACGACGGTAGGAATGGTGATGGGGGCTTGGGGGTTAGGCTTTGGGGCTCAAGGCCTGCACTTTTCAGGGCATCATGAAGACATACAGACACACACACACACGCACAAGGCTGAGGGTAGCAGATGGTGGGGACCGAAGGTAAGGGATACCGGTTGGGATATCGCCCACTTGTTGGGTACTTGTAGCCGCTGGCTGAAGTACTGGAATTGACACGCTTTTCAATATGGGTCTGATGACGCCCTTATGGTACCTGCATAATTACTCTGACTATACTGTACTAAACTATACAATGTTGTACTATACCTCAAATTGCTAGTCTTGCTGCGGTGTAGAAAGCCCACGTTCACCGGACGGTAGTGGTGAAGCCTAAATAAATACGAACCGAGCATCCGCTAAAACCTAAAACCAATGAGCAAAACACAATATAAGTGAAGATAGAAATGATGGTCCGAAGGAAGTTGTAGTTATAAAAAGATTGACAAAAAACACAACAATGCTAATATAGATAAACATGGTAGATGTGATAATGATGGCAACCGGGATGACAATGATGATATAACTTCATGGTGCACTAATGATGGTACGAACGATCATCCCTAAATACTAAACCCTAAACCACCTGGGAGCCCTACAGCTCTCAGGCTCACCGCGGAAGGTTCTTGGCCAAAAACTTTGGCTTAGGAAGGCCCCTTTGATTTGATCCGTGGGGGATATCAGGGTCTGCAGTGGTTGAGGTGCAGTTTTGGGGTTTAGGGTTTTGGGGTTTAGGTTTTGGGTTTAGATGCGGTTTTCGGGCTCAGGGTTTACGTCATCCTACTTACTGGATCATTCATGAGACTTCGTAACAAGCGTTGTTAATAACTCTGGTAGGTATATTCAAATATACTGATAACCCGAACTGAAGCACTTATAACCATACTTACTAAGTCCCACGATCCTCCAAGAACCCTTGAACAACCGTACGCCTATATCCGGAACCCAAACCTGCGCATCCCTTCAATGTCTCAGACCGCTAGTCTTTGAGCGAGTCTGATGGCAGCTCCAAGCTCAGCGGAAGTTTAGAGCTCACTTGCTGGCTAACAACAAAGTACGCTCCGGGCTAGTACCCCCACCTTCTTAAGGACCTTAATTCATATTCCCTACTTAAATAGTATAGGACAGAATGTCGGGACTGCCTCAGGGCCGCAGTATATACCATTTGTGCACATGAGAGACACATGCACACATACAGTACATGCATACATCCATGCATGCATGCATGCATGCATGCATGCATAGTACATATATATATATATATATACATAAGTTACAATTACTCATGCTTGGTTTCACATTGTGTAGATTTACCTGTATTCGGCTTTCTATCTGTTCGTGCACGGGTGAGAAGAATGCTACTCGAAGGCTTAAAGATGCTGTCGAATGTCTTGTTCGGCCTTTTTATCTAAGGCTTTTCATACACTATGGTTAGAACCCGCTTTAATTGTAGAGGTGATTTTTCCTGTTTCGCGTGCAGAGGTTGGTTCGTGTGAGACGCTCAGTACGGTTTTAGCAAGCGATAAGGCTTCAGCGTTGCTCTCACCGGTAGGTGAAGACCGGTGATTGGGCCGGGTCCGGGTAGCTGCGACTGTAGCGGCTCCATCAGCTTCAGCACCTTCAACCTATGTCGTGGTCCTGGTGGGTCAGGAGAGCGAATGGACGACAGGGTTCAGGCGTCCGGGGTTCCTGACTTCTTCGCCGCGCGCCCCGCGCGCTCAACTCCTGTGTCGACACAGCACACGCGGAAGAAGCCGACACGTTCCGAAATGTTGCCAGTCTCGGACAGCTCCGCGGGGTAATATCACCTGCCAAGGTATCGAAAAGTGAGGTTTAGGCCTAGATGGTGTTCTGAAGGTGATCTTCGATTTGCCCAACCTTCTTTCCACTGCATCGGAAGCATGGCCATCTGTCACTTTCAACAAGACCACAAGAACTAAGTCCAGGATTGTCCCCTTAGCCTACTATTGCTCCGGGATGTAGGAGGGAAGCGGGAAACAACTTCCCAAGAAGTTTTGTGCGACAGCAACCGTCAGACTGCGCGGCGTCCGTGGACATGTCGTGCTGGTCTTCCCAGGTTTCCCTTTTCGATTGAAAACGCACGTGGCCTCTGTTAGCCCCTGAACGGGATGCTGACTCGCGAGTGCTCGGCGCCGAGTGTTCAAGAACGCAACCGTGATGCCACGCACTCGCAACAAGCTCGCCGCTGTTCAACTCGGTGCTTGACGGAGTTCCCGACCTCTGGCGAGTTTCCGGGGCCTCGTTCCGCATTGTCATGCCATGTTATGAGTAGAACTACTTTTGCGAAATAGATCGAATAAGGCTTGGGAAAGTCAATGAGCCTTTCAATCAAGTACAAAAAAGTCTTGCTTAGTGGGCTTTGGAGAGCTCTGTGAGCTTTTCATATTAGCATGACAATTCTTGTTAGTAGCCTTTGGCGAGGTCTGTGCGCCCGTCATATAAGCAGAACACATTATTTTTGTATTTTTAGGCCTTCATGTAAGTAGAACATTTTTTGCATATCCGTCTTTGGAGAGATTTGTCAAGTCCTCGTGCAAATGACCGGAGGCCGTTCAAAGTCTGCAAGCAAGGTTGATCTTTGGCGGTACCAGGCGTTTAACTGGAGGAAGAGCTTGAAGCCTTGTCGCAGCCCTGAAGAAAGTTGATCGAAGGGTTGTTGAAGCTTTCAAAAGAAGGTTAGTCCTGGAATCCTTTCTTCCAGCGCCGTCAAACAAAAATGATCCTAGGCTGTTTGAGACCTTCAGGAGCTTCCAATGTCATTCCAAAAACTGACCCTAGGTCTTTCCAGGGAGGCTGTCTCTGAAGCTTTCCGATGCCAACGATCTTCGGTCCTCCAAGTAGCTGATGGTGGCAATGGTCGGAGGTCCCCCCAGGGCATCCCAGATTGAAGAACCAGTAGAACTCCAGGATTGGAAATACAGTTTACCCTTAAGCCGCGTAATCATATCGCCGTGAAGTTCGAAGATATAAGCCTATAAGGTCAGGTTTATGCTGCAAGATAAGATGAGTTCCAGTATGAGCCCTATGGTATATGATTTAGGCTTAGGCATCACTCGGCACACGCTAAACCCCATAAGCACTAATTAGTCATTAATTGGAAGATCAAAGGGACCAAATAAATAAAGTTATACGCACCTTCGTTGGGGTCAGACGTAATGATAATAAGACTACTTGGTGGCGCGCGCGCCCGGTCCCTGGTGCCCTGGTGTTAACCTGCTGTTTCAGGGG